TCCACACATATTAAGGAGGGACCAGCCTTATGTGACGAAGGAAACGTCACAGTCACTGACATTTATACACCCACAGAACTTGCACAGACAGAATGTCCATTTACTCCTATTACAGAGGATTCAGCCTTGTGTGAAGAAGGAAGTCTCGGTGATCTGGACATTCAAACCTCTCCTTGTGATCCTGTGAGTCAATACAAAATAGATCCCAATAACTTTGATGGTCATAAAATTTCATCCACAAATTTAAATCAAATGAAATATCAGAGATTCCGTAAAGGGAAGAAATTGACTTGTTCTGAATGTGGGAAATCTTTCAGCCATAAAATCAGCATTGATAGGCACATGATGATTCACACACAAGAGAAACCATTTTCATGTTCTGAATGTGGGAAATGTTTCACTCAAAAAAGCAACTTTTATACACATCTCAGGATTCACACAGGAGAAAAACCATATTCATGTTCTGAATGTGGACATTGTTTCAGTCATAAATCAAGGCTTATTACCCATAAACGGATTCATAGTGGAGAGAAACCTTTCTCCTGCTCTGAGTGTGGGAAATGTTTTAATCTGAAAGGCAACTTAAATAAACATCTCATGATTCACACAGGAGAAAAACCATTTTCATGTTCTGAATGTGGGAAATGTTTCAGTCGTAAAAACAAACGTGATAGCCACATGAGGATTCACACAGGAGAGAAACCATTTTCATGTTCTGAATGTGGGAAACGTTTCAGTCATAAAAGAAACATTGATAGACACGTGATGATTCACAGAAGAGAAACCATTTGCATGTTGTGAATGTGGGAAATGTTTTTCTCAGAAATGTTACCTTAATGCTCATGAAAGATTTCACAATACCAATAAATCTAAAACAGAAAAGAGTAAAGGCGCTCACTATAATAAAATAAAAACCTCCTTGCAACTATATCTAGCAAACCAAAGATTAATAAGTGCCTAACCCTAAAAGATCTATGGAGTTACACTAATGGTATACACATATGAATAAATGTGTATCTTGTCATTATTATTATTATTATTTAAAAAGCACCAACAAATTCTGCAGTGCTGTACACTGGGACATCGATGTTACTTAATAAATTTAAAAAAAAACTAATTGTGTAATAATTCAAACAAAAGTGAATATATAATTGAAGTGTCAAGGGAGAACTCACTATATAGAGCTACTAAGAGCTCTGCTGTAGAAGACATGGATGGTATAATTAACAAAAAGGCAAAAGATGGAACAGCACTAAGTTATAAAAAGGAGGGGCCAGGCAGCACTCCTAAATGGGTAAATTCTCTCCTAGACACCCAAAGAAGGAAACAGACAATATACAAAACACATAGAGAAGGGTGCGCCAAGGGATAAGGGATGAAACAAAAATTAGAGGACTTTGTGGGTATGACAAAATATAATAAGATATACTATAAAAAAACTGTCCAAAATATCAGAGAAAAAAAGACCAAATAGTCAACCTTGATGGGTTATGGGATGATTATGCCTTGCGTGGTATGTTGATCAGCTTAGGTGAGTATGTCATCCGATAAATTCATATGAAAAAAGAGACTCCAATGGTGCCGGACGTCTTGGTACACATATTGGTATATAGATGTAAGTCTAAAGAAGTGCCTACTCACGTGGCATAGAGCGAAGACCAGCTCTGGTATGGATTGCCTGCAGTGGTAGTGATCCCCCACTTATGGGAAAACAGAGGGCGGTATTGGTCTCAGCAGCAGTCTTATTCAACAGAGGTTAGAAACCTCAGGTATATATAAAAAATAGTGCAACAATAGTGCTCACTGTATAAAATATGTAATATATGATAAAAACCAAAAGGTTATACTCACATTTAACTGAGCAGACAACCTACTCGGTTATATAGGCGTGGGTGGTATAATCCCCACCAAGGATGCGTGGTGAGGTCCTTTTTTGGAAATGATGGATCAGGATGCCAGGTTAAAAAAAAAAAAAAAAAGGAAGGAAGAAAAAAAGGGTTCAGGTACAATAGAGTATTAAAATAGTAACCAACAACCTTTTATTATAACAAAATAAAATCAAGTGTTTTTTTTTAACCACTTGAAAAAGCCCACCGGGTGAAACGCGTTGTGGATTGATTTTATTTTGTTATAATAAAAGGTTGTTGGTTACTCTTTTTATACTCTTTTATACCAGACCTTTTTTTCTTCCTTCCTTTTTTTACCTGGCATCCTGATCCATCATTTCAAAAAAAGGATCTCACCATGCATCCTTGGTGGGGATTATACCACCCACACCTATATGGCATAATCATCCCATCACCCATCAAGGTTGACTATTTGGACTTTTTTTCTCTGATATTTTGGACAGTGTTTTTATAGTATATCTTATATTTTGTCATACCCACGAAGATCTCTCATTTTTGTTTCATCCCTTATCCCTTAGTGCACCCTTCTCTCTGTGTTTTGTATATGGATGGTATAATCCCTGTTTTAGGATTTGTAGTGTAGTAAAGCGGAATCTATAATCTCCTCTTAAAATATCAGCTTGAAATGTAAAGATAAAAAAAGTAATATCCAATGGTGTAGTTTAAAAGAAATTGCCAGAGATGGATATAAAATATTTTACTTGCATAACCTAGAGCAAGAACCTTAAAAGTACTTTATAAAATATATACAGATATAGTTTATTTATTTTGAAAAGGCCTTTGTCAAAATGCATCCGGTAAACCCTTATCTGGACTTTTACATTATTGGACGTGTATTATTCACAGAAACCCAAGCAAAGAAAGGAGGTTTTTCGTAACCAGAATTATTTGTGCTGGTAACAAGGTACTATCCAGGTTTAATGAAGGACAGTCTTAGTACAGCAAACGTTTGGGGCTTTTACCCTTTATCAATGCATTGTGTCAGAAGACCTGAATAATAAAGGGCACAAAACGTTTGCTGCACTAAGACTGTCCTTCATTAAACCTGGATCGCACCTTGGTACCAGCACAAATAATTCTATCTGCTTGTGTTTCTGGATTTCTAGACTTGGGGGGGTGCTTGCTGCACAGTTAATTTCTTATGATTTCTTGTCAAGTATTTTGTTTTATTGTGCCTCACTTGTATTATTCGATTGGTTTTTATTTTATAAATTTATGTTTGTTTTGCTACATTTGGTTTTAAAATGTGTTTAAATAAAAGCACAATGTAAAAGACAAAGAGAGTGTATAGTGACACTCAGTAAGTGAATGTGTGGGAGAGAGAGAGACAGTGAGTGAGTGTTTGAATGTGTGGGAGAGAGAGAGACAGTGAGTGAGTGAGTGTTTGAATGAATGTGTGGGAGAGAGAGAGACAGTGAGTGTTTGAATGTGTGGGAGAGAGACTGTGAGTGAGTGTTTTAATGAATGTGTGGGAGAGAGAGACATTAAGCATTTGAATGAATGTGTGGGAGAGAGAGACAGTGAGTGAGTGTGTGAGTGAGTGTTTGACTGAATATGTGGGAGAGTGTGTGATAGGGAGAGTGAGAACAAGAGAGATAGATACAACAAGGCATGACGGAGAATGAGAATGAATATCTAGGACAGACAAAGAGCCATTGTGAGCATGTTAGTGACAGAAGAAGTGAGAGAGAGAGTGTCAGGCCTCGTACAAACGTACCCAACGAACCACCACCTAGTACTGCGGTTTCTCCCACCATTATGACAGACACTAGACACTGGCATATTAACTCCTTATATGTGCGACTGGAGGAACCACGGGAATCGGCACGTACCAATAATGTCAGGGCCAAGCATAATTGGACCAGACACTCCTCTCATGTAGTGGTTAATCGAACCTCAACCAATCACAAGTGAGGGTCAGGTTTATATACTCTGATCTCCCAATACTCCTTGCCCTGTTGTGGTTCTTTGTTAGACCAATAGCACGTTACTTCGGTAATGTGATTTGGTATCTTGTCTGGCTTACGTTTCTTGTTTATTCTGCTCTTTCGTATCCCTTGACCTCGGCTTGCTTATCGTTATTCCTGTTCTCTAGTTCCCTGACCTTGGCTCTTATATAGACTATTCTCTTTTGTATAGCCCGACCATTCTAAGGATCGGTATTACAATTCTATATTTTATGTTTGTCTGTGTGTTCTGGTTCCCGGATTCCTGACAGAGAGACACTCAGACTTTGTGGCAAATTGTAGTGAGTGTGTGTGAGAGAACTAGAGTGAGTGTTAATATGTCGGACACAGTGTGAGAAAGACAAAGCATCAGCATGTAGAAGAGAAAACGTGAAAGAGTAACACTCAAAGAGTGAGTGTGGGAGACAAATTCAGAAACAAGAAACAGCAAGTGGGAGAGGAAGATATAGAATGATTGCTGGAGATAGAAAACATTAAATTGATTGAGAGAGAGTGTGTGAGTTACGGAGAGAGCAAGCATGTGCATGTGACACTCAAAGAGTGGGTGAGACAGAGAGTGTACGTAGACATAGTGATGCACCGAACGGTTCGCCGGCGAACAGTTCCTGGCGAACATAGCGTGTTCGCATTCGCCACGGACGGCGAACATATGCGCGGTTCGATCCGCCCCCTATTCGTCATCATTGAGTAAACTTTGACCCTGTACCCCTCACAGTCAGCAGACACATTCCAGCCAATTAGCAGCACACCCTCCCTAGCAGACCCTCCCACCTACTGGACAGCATCCATTTTAGATTCATTCTCAAGCTGCATGCTTAGTGAGAGGAGGGAAAGTGTAGCTGCTGTTGATTTGATAGAGAAATTGATAGCTAGGTTAGTGTATACAGTGTCCACTACAGTCCTGAAGGACTCATCTGATCTCTGTTGTAAGGACAGCACCCCAAAAAGCCCTTTTTAGGGCTAGAACATCAGTCTGCTTTTTTTTTTTTTGTGTGTAATGTAATTGCAGTTGCCTGCCTGCCAGCTTCTGTGTCAGGCTCACAGTGGATACTGTGCCCACTTGCCCAGTGCCACCACTCACTCACTGGTGTCACAATAGCGTGCATTTAAAAACCCCAAAACTTTTTTCACTGTTATAGATTGAATAGCAGTTAGTTGTCTTCAAGCGGATGTGTCAGGCCTACAGCGTGTACTCTGCCAGTTCACAGTGCCACTCATATCTGGTGTCATAATAGCTTGCATTTAAAAACAAAAAACTTTTTTCACTGTTGTAGATTGAATAGCAGTTAGTAGTCTCAAAGCGGGTGTGTCAGCCCTACAGCGTGTACTCTGCCAACCTCTGCCAGTTCACAGTGCCACTCATATCTGGTGTCACAATAGCGTGCATTTAAAAACAAAAAACTTTTTTCACTGTTATAGATTGAATAGCAGTTAGTTGTCTTCAAGCAGGTGTGTCAGGCCTACAACGTGTACTCTGCCAACCTTTGCCAGTTCAAAGTGCCACTCATATCTGGTGTCACAATAGCGTGCATTTAAAAAACAAAAAACTTTTTTCGCTGTTATAGATTGAATAGCAGTTAGTTGTCTTCAAGCGGGTGTGTCAGGCCTACAGCGTGTACTCTGCCAGTTCACAGTGCCACTCAAGGGGACCCTTGGTGTTGTACGTGGCTGGGTGGAGGAAGAGACCTTCAATGACATCAGTGAGGACAAGGAACGGGACATGGCTAGCTTGGTATCCAACCTTGTGGAAATGGGAAGTTTACGGTTGTGCAAATGGACTGTTTGCGGTGCGTTAAACGGGGAGTTTGGTCTGTCACTGTGAAGCGGGCGTAACCCTTACACTACCTGATCGATACAACATCATACAGTAGGTCCCCCCCCCTCATTATTTTTATGGCCCCCACCCACCGCTCACGGGTGGGGGCAGGGGGGAGGACAGTAGGTCCCCCTTATCCTTATTTACTGAATATTCCCCTGTATAACAATGTTTGGCATTTAGTGAATATTCCCTATTCTGCTCTGTGTCAGTGTGTATCAGGGATCCTTAGGATAGGTGTCAATCCATATCTGCTAAGTGACCCTATGTAGGGGGAACAGTCCCTATTCTGCTCTGTGTCAGTGTGTATCAGGGATCCTGAGGATAGGTGTCAATCCATATCTGCCAAGTGACCCTATGTAGGGGGAACAGTCCCTATTCTGCTCTGTGTCAGTGTGTATCAGGGATCCTGAGGATAGGTGTCAATCCATATCTGCCAAGTCACCCTATGTAGGGTGAACAGTCCCTATTCTGCTCTGTGTCATTGTGTATCAGGGATCCCGAGGATAGGTGTCAATCCATATCTGCCGAGTGACCCTATGTAGGGGGAACAGTCCCTATTCTGCTCTGTGTCAGTGTGTATCAGGGATCCCGAGGATAGGTGTCAATCCATATCTGCCAAGTGACCCTATGTAGGGGGAACAGTCCCCATTCTGCTCTGTGTCAGTGTGTATCAGGGATTCTTAAGATAGGTGTCAATCCATATTCGCTAAGTGACCCTATGTAGGGGAACAGTCCCTATTCTGCTCTGTGTCAGTGTGTGTATCAGGGATCCTGAGGATAGGTGCGTCAATCCATATCTGCCAAGTGACCCTAAGGGGAACAGTCCCTATTCTGCTCTGTGTCAGTGTATCAGGGATCCTGGAGGGATAGGTACAATCCATATCTGCTAAGTGACCCTATGTAGGGAACAGTCCTATTCCCTGCTCTGTGTCAGAGTGTATCAGGGATCCTTAGGACAGGTGTCAATCCATATCTGCCAAGTGACCCTATGTAGGGGGAACAGTCCCTATTCTGCTCTGTGTCAGAGTGTATCAGGGATCATTAGGATAGGTGTCAATCCATATCTGCCAAGTGACCCTATGTAGGGGGAACAGTCCCTATTCTGCTCTGTGTCAGAGTGTATCAGGGATCATTAGGATAGTTGTCAATCCATATCTGCCAAGTGACCCTATGTAGGGTGAACAGTCCCTATTCTGCTCTGTTTCAGTGTGTATCGGGGGTCCTTAGGACAGGTG